TAGTGGTGTTAGATTCCTTTAAAATGTGAAAATTATTTAGAATAATGTCTTTTACTTGTATGTTGTGTGTGTGTGGTATGTGAGGGTAAAGGGTGGCCTGGTACAGGAGATTTTAGAGTTTGTTTCCGTGGTCTTGATTTATAGCATAGTTGTGAGCTTTCTTCAGAATGTTTTTGGGGTAGTCATGATCATGAAAAAATTATTCCAATTCTGTTGACCGGACATTGAAATCATCAGGTTCACTACACAGTTTCTGTAGTCTAACGAACTGGGATTTTGGGATGTTCTTTTTCATATATTTGGGGTGGTTAGAATTAAAATGGAACTAGTTGTGGGTGTCTGTAGGTTTATAATGAACACTGGTTGTTATTTTATCAGAAGATAGAGAAAGAAGAATATCCAAGAATGGTAGTGATGAATCAGAAATGTCGTGTGTAAGACAATGAAGGATGGAAGTTACTTACGTAATGAATAAACGTTTCTAGCTTGGGAAAAGTGCCCGTGAAAATTCCAACAACTTCATTGATATATCTCTTGTAAAGTAGGGGTAAGGGACCATCATATTGTGTAAACGTGTGTTCTTCAATATATCGAACAAAAAAGTTTGCAAAATTGGGGCTCATTTTAGTTCCCATAGCCATGCTGCTAACCTGTTTATAGAATTTATTGTTAAAACAGAACCCACTACATTTTAAAACTAGTTCTGCTAAATGGATTAAAGTATTAGTGGGGGGTGAAGTTCATTATGTTTGTCAAAAATGTGTCTTAAGGCTATTAAACCCTCCTGTTGTGGTATTACGGTGTATAATGATTTGATGCCCATAGTAAATAAAAGGATTGAGTCTGGTTTGGGGTTAAAAGTAACTATGTTGAAGAGTCTAAGGGCATAACCACGAAGTACAAGAAAAGAAAATAATTTTTGGCCTGGGAACTTTCTACTCTGATGGGCTAAATGAACATTTTAGGTTTTTGTAATATTTCTCATTTTAGTTTTATCCTTTCTTAAAAAGTTTTATACAGTAAATTGTGTATCTATTCTTTTTTTAAACTATAATGCATATACATTCATATATGTATGTGCATGCGCATGTGTTTGTATGTATGTGTGTGTGTGCTTGTATGTATATATTTTTATCACTTTCTATTGTTTCAATTGTTTGTAAGCATTGTTATACAAATACATTTGTTACATCGTCATGTCACGTGACCTTCGATTTAGAATGTTTTCCTTTACGGATTTACTGTTCAGTTAGTGATACCTGAAGAAGGGCATTGCCCAAAACATTGTATCCACAATTATATATATATTAACTCCTTAGTGATTTGACCTATAATATACTTCTTGTCAAAGCTTGAAACAGTCTACATCTGTTTATACTTACATTTATTTACTGCCCCTTGAACTGTGTCTGACTAATGATACAAGTTATCAATAATTCAGTGAATGCTTAGCTCACGTTACCATATTGAATGATGTAATGCACAAGCTGCTTGAAAGCATGCCTTGTGAAGAATTTTTATTATTTTTTTACCTTACTTAATCTAACCTAATAAGTTTCAAATTCTTACATTTTAGTTACTTTTATAATAATAAATAACATAAATGAAAAACAAGAAACACAGTACCTTACTTTTGACCTCTCTGTTTTCTTGCTGTCAGTTGCCAATGAAATTTAAGCCTACTTTATTTTTTATTATACTAATGGTACTAGTACACTAAATAATTTTTACATACTTAAATAATTTACCTAAGAACACAGAATAATAACATGCACAAAGCAAACAATGTCCTATAACTATAATAATTTAACTGGCTTTCAAGCTATGGCACAAGAGCCTTAATTCCCAAATCTTCTTGATCTGAATATCGAGAGAGAAACTTCCAAACTGAAAACAAAAATAGAAAATACTCTTACTGAAAAGAATGTAATATAATACATCATTTGATAAATTAGAATGCTGTCTTTATATTGGTTACAAATAATATAGCATAAAACGTTGGAGAGAACTATTGGCAATTTGTGAAAGATGGGGTGTGGCAAATAGGTCTGATTTTCTAGTTCATGACTCTGTAAACAAATAAGATTGAGGGATATAAAAGGTTGACTTTTCCTTAGTAATATATACATTATAATGAGTAACTTACGGTAATTTCCATACTTCAGAGAGGGGTGGTAAATAAATTAGAGATGGGAGATAACCTTGAGAACAAATGTCACAATTCTCTTACTAGGGGAGGTTGAGGGTTTTTTAAATATTTCCTTGTAAAATGAAGAATTTAAAACTTTATAGTCTTAAAATATCATTTATTATCTATGTTTGATGCCAAGTTTATTCATATAAATTGAAAATAAAGTTTAATTACATTTTGAATTTAACTCTAAAAGATTGTGACATGCACACTTTGACCCAATAATAGCAAGAGGGTTAATACCTGGTTTCTTTAATCATAACTATGATATATCTACACTGAGGAACATAACAGCCTATAGTTTCCATATTGTATCAGTTTTCCTTAATGTCACTTGATTTCAGTTATAACCACAACACATCTAAACTTATAAGCAGCCAACCTTTACTTTGTACGGTTTCCATATTGTATTAGATTTCCTTAATGCCAAATGACTGCAATCATGACCATGATATATCTAAACTAATGAATGTAAACAGCTTGTAGTTTAAATACTGTATCAGTTTTATTGTTATTGAACTTGACAAGAGACTTAACATTACATTCTGAAAAGCAGATGCTGAAACAAAACTAACATCGTAACAATTTATAACTCACTTTGCAGCATCTAAAAGTTTCCTCAATCTGCGTGCTGCTGTAAGTGTTAAGCCTTTACTTTTCAATTCTTCAACACTCATGTTCTGAATCTGTTAGGAATAAAAACAGAAAGAAAAATGCTCAATTACAAATGTTGATATAAAAAAGTGATATATTTAAGATGCCCTCATCCTTCAAAAAGACTAATTTATAAAATAATGCTATTTCTAACTTCAACTTCTAATAATAAACTAAAATAAATAAATAAGAAAATAGAAAATCACACAGTCAAATTGAAAAACTGAGCAGAAAAAAGTAGTTAATCAGAAATGTTTCAGCTTTTTTAATTATCTAAATAAAAGTACGTATTAATGTTATTGCAAACCGTTACATTTAGTTTTCAATTTACGACTTCTAACAAGTTATTAAGAAAAGCAATTAAATGATGACAACAAATCAAACAAAACAGTGGCATAAATGCATCTTCCTCTTCATATAACACCAGCTTCTATAATCAAACTGTGATGTTTGTTGTTAATACAACACCAGCTTCTATAATCAAACTGTGATGTTTGTTGTTAATACAACACCAGCTTCTATAATCAAACTGTGATTCTTGTTGTTAATACATCACTAGCTTCTGTAATCAAACTGTGATGTTTGTTGTTAATACATCACTAGGTGTTAACAACAAGAATCACAGTTTGATTATAGAAGCTAGTGTTGTGTTAACAACAAGAATCACAGTTTGATTATAGAAGACCAGCTTCTATAATCAAACTGTGATTCTTGTTGTTAATACATCACTAGCTTCTGTAATCAAACTGTGATTCTTGTTGTTAACACAACACCATTGTCTGTAATCAAACTGTGATTCTTGTTGTTAACACACCAGCTTCTATAATCAAACTGTGATGTTTGTTGTTAATACAACACCAGCCTTCTATAATCAAACTGTGATTCTTGTTGTTAATACAACACCAGCTTCTATAATCAAACTGTGATTCTTGTTGTTAACACAACACCAGCTTCTATAATCAAACTGTGATTCTTGTTGTTAACACAACACC